GCCATCTAAAGGCATCAGTTTTAGTTGTTTGTGTTTTTATCAGTCAAAGAAGTAAACTTTGGGCTGCCAGCAAGTGGCAAGTGCCCATTGTAGTTGGTGAGCTCTCTGATCCTGCCAGCTGATTCTCTGAAAGACTCTTTCATTATAAGTTAGGGCTCTGGGCAAGTGGATATATAGCCCAGACCAAGCCTGGGTTGCTTAGAATAATTCCTGGAGTAGAAGATGCCTAAGAAGTCATCTGCTCAGCTCCCTGCCTTCTGACAAGTGAACTGTTATTGTCCACACTTTGCAGACAAGATAAGCGAGGCCCACTGACCGAGACCCACTGACCCAAATCTGTACATTAGGGAATAGTGGTGGTGGGTATACTCCATCAGGAAACAAGACAACTCTGTGCTGTTAGCATCAGCGACCATTCAGGTTTCTAAGGTCTGGGAAATCTATTCATTTCTTTACGTTCTCCAATAGCATCATAATTGTTCTGTTTCTTTCGGCACCTTCCCGCTACTTCCTGGCAGCCCTTTTGGACACAGAAGGCCCAGAGCCGGCTTCTTAACGGATATCCGGCTCGCAGGATGCAGATGAGGCAAAGGCTTTATTGTTCTTTGGGGCCAGCCCGCCCTTCTCCTAGATGAGAGGACACTCATCACAGACCCGGGTGTCCCAGAGCCCATTTCCCAGGAGTGGGGCCTTCAGAGGAAGCAAGGAAGCGAGGCTGAGAGCATCTCTGGGGTCTGATGTTGTTAGCATACACGGGAAAGGTGCTAAGAGCCTCAAGATAAATAAGCCTGGAATTTGAAAACGAATTTCCAATACCGGCTCGGTGCTGTTACTTATCAAGGCTCCCGACTCCGTCTGCAATCCGTCTGCGTTTTTACTAATCTGAAAGAGTTTGGTTGTAATGAGGATCGTTGATTTGCGGGCCCCGCGTTCTGGGAGGCAGGTTATTAGCCGAACCAGCCTCTTCCCACGCCCGGATCCCCCGAGTCAAGGCAGAGCGGGTGCGGGCGGTCCCCGACGCAGAGGGAGTGGGGTAGGGGGGCGTCATCGGCGTGGATCCGCCGCTGAGCCTCCACCCCGCGGCCGCCGGGGGGCGCTCGGGCTGCACGGCGACCAACGGGGCTGCCCGCGCCGAATCGCCGCCAACTCGTAGACCCCTTCGCGCCCTGGGAGGAAACAAAGTA